GCTCTGATTTCATTTGCTGTTTAGTCTTCTAGGATCTGTTTTGCTTCTGGTAGTCAGAAATCATAATGGTAGATATTTTTTTTGTGATCTTGTTTTGTGTTTTTCCCATTTCAGTAGACTGACCAAAAGCTGTGGCTAAAGGCAGGTTGATTCTAAAACATATATATTTTACCATGTTTTATTTCCTCAAAGGATAAAATACCATCCACTTGATTTATTTCTATCTTTATTCCTCCTTGTCCTACTAGAAAACATATGGGAAAGGGGCCTTCAATGCTACTGGAATCTCTTACAAATCTATTTATTAGGTCATTTTTGCTTTAATTGATATTTTTCCTAATTGAATCATTATCACACTCCCACAGTACCAAGTCCTATCATTTTAAAACCTGATTTCCCAGAATCTGAATCTTTTCATCCCCTGATCATGTTACCTAGGAGACAAAGCTCATCTCTGAGGGTTCTATAAACTCTGACATTACGTCCACCTTTATATAAGTGGTCTATTTTTTTCTTTCCTTTCCTCTGAGCTCAATGTCTTCAATCCATGCTTGATCCCATTTCTCTGCCTGTGGAGGAAGACCCTCTTTTGTAATCCTGTCATATAAACTAGTCTTTCTTGACTCCATTCGCGCTCTTTTCTTTCTTCAAGCTTTTTGAAAGCATTCCCTTCCCGTAGCTCTAATTTTGAATGTCTAACACTTGAGGTGTATGTGATTACCTTGTAGAGGAATCATAACAGTTCTGTCTTTCCACACTTCCTGGTCCATCAGGGCTGACTGTGCACCAATCACTGACATATACCTAGTAGTGAAGATGACATCTTTTGCTCACCTTCCAATTTTTTTTTCTTGTTACATTTAACAGAGTGGTGACTCCACCTTGCTGGAAGCCAGGAAGGAGGATTTTCAAAATTCTGGGCAGGTCTTTTCTCTCTGTGCCTCATTTCCTAAACTGAAAATTTGAACCTTTCTCTGTATTTTTACCTAGAGTTTTATATCTTCAATATTCTTATTATGAACATTCTACTTGTATTTTTTCTCCATACTCGAATCCTTTTATCTGAAATTTTCCTATGCAAAATATCTTTTTCTCTGTGAATAGTTCCCAAATCTATTAACATTGAACTGCAGGCCTACATTTCCTGTTTTGGCTGGGATCACTGAAGTGAAATTCTGTGGATAGGCCAGTCTCCTCAGGTCCAGAACACAGTGTTTTCCTCTATCTTCAGTTAGTTATTGCTCATTTCTCCCTTTCTGTCCCTGGCTGTCATTTTGCAGAATAAAATATTGCCATTTCTGGTCCCATTATTTTCTTAGCTACAGAACAGTCAGTTATTGGCTCTCAGTCATATTGGCCTGGTAGCCATAAACCACGAGGCTAATATCCCTGATGCACAACTATAGCTTGGTCGATGCTGAATGACCTGGATCACAGTAAAATTCAGATCTCAGCATGGCTTTTTTTCTGGCTGTCCATGGCCCTGAAGCTTTTGCCTATCTGACTCAAGCTTCCTATACTGAACATAAGACATATCAGCTTTCTTTCTCTCAGTGGTTACACAGATTATTTTCCCCCATTCTCGCATGTTTGTGTTCATAGAAATGTGTTTCTCATAATACAAACTCAAAGTTGGATGTTGTCTTTTTATCCAGTCTGGAAAATGTATCTCTTTTACTTGTATTCTAATTTTTATTTTTCTGGCTTTTGAGACAGTCTAGTTCTTTATCCTAGGCTGGACTCAACAGCATTATGGAGCCTGGACTGGCCTTGAACTCACAGCAACATTCCTATTTCAGTCTCATAGTTACTAAGATTGGGCGTGAGCCACCTTGCCCAGCAATGTGTCTTTTAATTTTGTTGTTTAGTCTATTTATATTTACTGCAATTGTTGATTTCTTTTTCGGGGAAAGAAAAGACTTATTTCGATATACTGCAAGAGGCAGCAGGGTAAGCAGTAATAAAAGTACTGCCCCTAGCCAGTTATCGTATTTGACTTTGACCTTATTTCTCCATGTCTTCCTGTCTTAATGCTATTAATCACCACATTTTGGTGGGCTGGTGTTTTTGTTTCTCTTTTATTACTCTTCCTTCTTTGGAGATGGCTTAATTTATCACATCTTGGGTTGGCTGGCTATTTACCTATTGATTTTAGTTTCTTCTCATGTGTACCTGTGTATAGAACTAGTGGCTACTATATATATTGAAATAAATACATTTGATTCATAACATAAATATTCAAAAACTGTTTCAAGAAAAATATAATCAAATTAATAATAACAATTTTGATTTTTCTACAATGTTCTCTTCCTTCTTTCCTTCCTTCCTTCCTTCCTTCCTTTTTTTTTTTCAACACAGGCTTTCTCTGTAGCTTTGGAGCCTATCCTAGATCTCACTCTAAAAACCAGGCTGGCCTTGAACTCACAGAGATCTGCCTGCTTCTGCATCCCAAGTGCTGGGATTGAAGGATCTGGCTCACACTGTGCTCTTGGTGACTATAATTTATTTTGTACATATTTACTATAATTCTGCTTTGGATGATTTGCCTCAAGCAGCCCCTTATCTGAGAGACTTAATATTCTATATAGCAAAGCTATGAATATTCCAAAACTTATTTGATTGACTGACCTATTTGTGCTTTATAGTGCCCTCATTGTTCCTTACAGAACTAGACTATTTTCTGTTATTTCCTTTTGTCATTTAAAACTCTTTGTAGATGGAGACTGTGCTTTGTTTCCCTGCTGCGCGGACCCGAATAATCTCACACAGCACTGTTTGCCAATAACTTAGAAATATTCCTAGCTAGCTCTTACATCTGAAATTAACCCATTCCTATTAATCTATGTATTACCATGGGGCTGTGATCTACAGGTAAGGTTCTGGTGTCTGTCTCCTTTAGCAGCTACATGGTGTCTCCTTGACTCTACCTACTCTCTCTCTCTCTTTATCTCTGTTTGGATTTCCTGCCTAGTTTTACTCTGCTAAGCCATAGGCAGAAACAGTTTTATTCACTATCCAATAAAAGCAACACATATGCATACAGAAGAATATCCCATATCGACTTCTTTCAAAAATTTTGACTCAATAAGTCTATAACTAATAAATTCTTAACTGTTCCTCTGGTCAAAGACACCTTTATTTCAAGTTTTGAAGACTATTTTTACTGGAGTGAAATTTCGAACTGACATTGTCTTATAGTAGGATATTTTGTTTTGTTTTGTTTTCTCTTATCATTTAAAAAAATGTCGGGTCATTATTTTGTGACCTCTGGGATTTTTGTTTGTTTTTGCTATTTTTCCCTCCTGCAGAGAATCCTTGGGAGGAAATAAATGAAAAAGAAGGAAGCCTGTATAGTATGTAATAGATATGGCCCAATTTTACTAAAAACGTCTGGAAAACTATATGAAATTAACCTTAGTGAATTATTTATTCACCCACTCTCATCTGTATTAGCTAATCCTGTTGTGATCAAATATCTGACAAGAAGCAATTTAATGGAGGGTTGATTTTGGCTAGGATTTGCAGGTACCTTCTTCAATGACACACCCAGGGGTGTGTCTCCTAGGTGACCATGAAGATTTATCATCCCAATACTGACCGTGTCGTGTTGTCACTTTCAAGCTGTGTCAGCCCACCCCTGGCACACCCACTCCTACTTTTCCTATGACAGACAGTCACAGCAGCTTCAACACTGTTCGAAAGTCAAGTCCACCAGAGGCTCGATAATCTCTTAACTGTGTGTCCTTGGAAAATAAAAAAGCCACAAATTTCTAATATACAACAACAGACTATGAAGTCCTGTTCCAAAAGGGAGAAACTGGAATAACAAGTGAAGACTGGGCCAAAAAAAAAAAAAAAAAAAAAAAAAAAAAAAAAAAAAAAAACACTAAAATAAGCAGGGCAAACCCCAATCACTACAGCTCTATGTCCCATCTTCTAGAGATTATTTACGCTTACTTACCTACCTTTTATTTATTTATTTGTGTGTGTGTGTGTGTGTGTACCACAATGTGTATATGAGGGTCAGAGGACAACTTGTAGGAGTTGCTCCTCTCCTTCTAATATGTGGGTTCCAGGGATCTAACTCAAGTTCATCAGGCTTGGTGGAGAACCCTTGTATTCATTACGTCCTCTCGTCTCCTACTCTGAGACTCCTTATGTTGTCATATGAGATGCCAGACACAATCCAGATTTAGAGTGTCTTCCCTCCTTGGTAGAAATGCCTACAAAAAAACATTCTCAGAGGTGTGTCTCCTGGGTGATTCCAAATCCAGTCAAGCTGTCAATAAAGGTCACAGTTAAGAGGTTGGGTATGTATCTGCCAACCTGAGCAGTAGTCTTGCCTGTAGGCACTCTAACTCCAGACTCAGAAGGAGAGGTGGAGGTACTTACAGTAGACGTGAGAGAATGTGCTTAGGCCTAAGTTACCTGTCCTCTGAGGGCCTTTCATCTTCAGTTATGCTGGCACATTAGATCCTGGTGTTACTGAGAGGAGAATTCTAAGCTCACTTCCTTTTGCATCTCCCAGCATTATAATTCAGATGTAAAGGTTAGAAAATCAATTCATCTTATAAACCACAATGAAAATGAAATTTCAGACAATACAATATGAAGACTTCTGGTTGGCCCTTTTTTTATTCCCTTTCAAGCTCAAATCCACTCACATAACAACACAGTTTGATGTCTTTACTGCCAAAGATGTCAAATTCACTAGAGTATTTAAAAGTGAGTTTTATTTTTTTATTTGTGTGTGTGTGTGTGTGTGAGCACGCGTGCCTGTAGATGCCTGTGGAATCCAGAAGGTGTTGGATACACTGGAGTTATAGGCAGTTGCGACTTGCTGGGAACTGAATTTAGTTCCTCTGTAAGAACAAGAAGTACTCTTAACCACTAAGCTACCTCTCTAGCCTTGCTAGCTGGAATTAAAAAATATTAATTTTCAAATAAAATGTCTACAACTATCCTTTATCTAATGGGTTTTATATTATTTTCAGCCAACAATGATAAGGCGCCCACCAACAGTTGTTTGTTACATATGTGGTCGTGAATATGGGACCAAATCTATTAGCATCCATGAGCCACAGTGTCTGAAAAAATGGCATAATGAGAATAATTTGTTGTCTAAAGAACTAAGGAGACAAGAACCGAAAAAACCAGAAGTTAGAGCCATTACTGGTAAGTTCTTACAAAAAAAAAATCAGAAAATTAACCATATTTTCTTACTAGTTCTATCATCTGAAATCAGCAACACTTACTGTCCTAAACAAAGTGGATTGGGTTTTTAAGAGACATTCTGGAATATCCTTCCAGTCTTGTTTTCAGAGGCTGAGACATAAAGACAGTATGTCCTGGCAACACCTTGGGAGAGGGACCCATGGAAATTTAGTATGTTTTCCTAGAGTTATTTTTACATATTATCACACATAATATTTTTAAAATCATGACGCTTAAAGATGCTTGGGACTCTTCACAACCGTGTTTTCATTTATAAATGTGTCTTGATTTCCTCATGGCGCAGGAGTCCGCAACTCAACTACTCACAGGGTCTACTAGTCAGGTGACAAGGCTGCAGAAAGTGTTTCCTCTACGAACAAAAATGAAAGGCGCCCTCACGCAGCTGCTGCTGTCATTAAGAAATTCAGCCCAAGATATTTGTGTTTTCCAATACATGCAAATGAAACTAGAAATCTAGACATCTGGATGGAATGTCCAGATTTTTTTCAATCAATAATTTATAAATTTATAAAGTGCTGTGTAACCCAAGTGAACATGGAGCTGTTCTGTCTCATAGGAAGGCCACAGAGTGCTGTGTTTCCAAAGTATGAACAGAGTATGAACAATGTATAAAAGGAAAAATTTATATTATATAAGTTATGTATTATTACATATAATAATATATATTACATACTATTTTACTATTTTATATGTAATTTAAATACAAGGCAAGTATAATTTATATAGTTACATCACAATTATATATCATAATAGATATTAAATGTTATATATATGTACATATGTATGCATATAATAGCTATATTTATATATAATTACATATTTACATATTATATATTTCTATAAGTTTAATATACAATAATTATACCATAGTACATACATATAATGATCTATTATGGTAATATGTATAATTATATGTATATTTATGTTATATAATAGACATTGTATGTTATATAGTATATCATATATGTGATGTTTTATGTTGTATGTGTAAATATATTTACACACTTGCCATGCAAGCTGTCTCAATAATTATATTTCTATCATTAATGTTTTTCTCATTTGATTTTCTCATTCCTTAACAGTTATTTTTTATTTTAAGAGAAACATCATTCAGGTATTTTCCCTATGTAGCCAAAGCTACTGCTCAGGCTGCTTGGCATTGGCTAGGTCACGGCAACTCCTTAATTTGTGATCCAAAAAGAGTATGACCTTCATAGAGTGAAATCTAGATTGTTATAATAAGTTCTCAATGCTATTGAAACCCAGCTATTCACAACCCTTAGCAAAAAGGGACTTTGTATAGAGGTTGAAAAAGAATTCAAAATGAGCATCTTGGGGCTCGAGAGATGGCTCAGAGGTAAGGAATACGGCTGCTCTTGACATAGGACCTGGGCTCTCTTCCCTTCACCCGCATGGCTGCTCACAACCACCCATAACTCTAGTTCTATGTGTTCTGACACCCTCTTCTGACTTCCTGAGGCATCACGAACATGTGTGATACATAGACATACATGGAGGCAAAACACCATACATCTAAAATAAAATTTTTTTAAAAAGGAAAAAGAAAGTACCCTCCCACTGAAATAATAGTATTTGTTTCTAGAGAGACTATGTAATTCACTGCTTTCCTAGAACTTCTCATACGGTATCCAAAGTAACTGTTCCCAACTTTATCATTTTCTTCTACTGATCTTTTTATCACATAGCTAGAAGTGAGAATAGCTTGAAATTCCCTGGAAGGGGCTGTCTCACTGCTTGCCACTGTTGACAGAGAGAAAGGGTAGATAGATCCTATCATTTCACTCGCCTACAGTTTTCCTCTTGGCTTCATTTTTATCTCTGAAGGTGCCCCTCTCCTCAAGGTCATAGAATCGACTTCCTCTCCCACACACTCAGTGCAGTACTGGATCCGCAGTCAAAGCCTTATGCAGAAGCATTGTGATGTGTCAGCTCTATCCTTTACAGGGTTTGCAAGGCACTCACAACACACATTGATGTGCTGGAGCGATGACTCAGCCAGTAAGCGCACATGCTGCTCTTGCAGGGGCTCTGAGTTCACTTCCCTGCACCCAAGTCTAGCAGCTCGCAGCTGCCTGTAACTCCAGCTATGGGGCATCCGGTGTCTCTAACCCCCGAAGGAACCTATATTCATGTGTACATACCCACACACAGATACATCCACACACAAGAGTAAAAGCAAATCTTTAAATATACATCTATAATCTGTATAATAGCGAGACTTGTTTTATCTAAAGGTAAAATGCACGGGCTTGAAATCTCCATGAAAAGGAGGCACGCTAAGGATCGAAAGGTTTGTTATGGCTGTGTGAGCCATTAAGATAGAAATCAAATGAACATAGCCTAGTGTTTTAATGAAGTAGTACATTTTGAGTGCCCGGCCACATTCGCGGGGCCTATTTTGGGAGATTCTAGGACATAGTCAATTTAATGTACTAAAGTCATTCTATTTAAATAAGGCTTATTAAAGTTAAAGCCCACATTGTTCCTCTAAAGCAAGGCCATATGCTTTTTCTCTTCCGTACCCCGCCAAAAATGATTACACATTTCTCAGCTCTTTTTGCTTTCTTAAGGACACTTCTTTCCCTCAACTTGTTTGAATTCTTTATTTTAATTAGTCAAAAAGAACATCTGAGTTTATGACCACGAAGAGACGGTGTTTTTTAGGGTATAATTCATTGTAAATTCACTTTCAGTTTGTCAGTTCAGGCTCTGCAAACCTTCCAGCAAAGATTGCATAAGATGAAAACGCAAACATGCATTCTTTTCCCGCTGTAAGCTTCTATTTAGAACCAACAGAAAGAAAGCCAAACGTTGTATTTGCAAGATAACAGCGGATAAGCAAAGATGTTGATGGTTAGTGAAGAGTGCATATCATAACGAGAAACGCTGCCTTTCCATTTTCATATCCAGAGCGTAAAGAGCCTCCAGTTCGCAGCTAACTCCTTTCAACCCCTGCGAGAATGCTCAATACTTTATTTACTGTTATTAATTTCTGCCAGAGTCACATGATTTGCTTGCAAATGCCAGTCCAGAGGTATTTCCTGAGACTGGTTTCCATAAATAGTAGAAATTGGTTCCCTAAAAAGGAAACTAACACATTTGTACCTTCCCATTCTACTTTATAAAAGATATTTCCCTTCTTCCCTTCCTTTTTTTTGCAGCCAAAGGGTTCTATGATCTTGACTCCTTAAACGAAGCTGCTTGGACAAGTGCCCAGAGCCAATTGGTTCCCTGCAACGTTTGTGGGCGGACCTTCCTGCCAGACAGACTGATTGTTCACCAGCGATCTTGTAAACCTAAAGCCGCCAAGTAAAGCCCTCTCCTCAGCACTGAGTTTACAGGAGTGAATGCCTTCAGAGGGGAGGAAGGTTTCCTAGGGAGGAGAAGAGGGAGGTGGGGAGAGGATGCAGGGAGAACTAGAGTTGACTGAGTGCTGGCCCAGCCCTGAAGGCCTGGCTCTGGGAAGAGGCAGCCAGGTTCAGTCCTGCCTTTAGGGGATCACGTCACACTTTTGTCAGGCGGAATTACTAGCAACTGGCTTATCATCAAAATTGTTACCAGTTTTCGCTCTTTCTACTTTCCTCAACAAGGTGGTTGTTCCTCAGAGTGAGGCCTGTGCTCTGCAAACGGAAGCTGAAAATGGCAATTCGAGGGGACTCTGGGTTGTAGGCAAAATGCATTTCCTTCCTCGTTCCTTGCTTTCTGATTCAGGGATCTTTTTACACTGAGTTACTGATTGAAAAGTTTCTTTTCCCTCTAGAGTCGTTTGACAGGATACATAAGCTTAAAGGGGCCGAGGCTATAAAAGGAACCGTATTTAACTCTTCCACTGTTTCTAACAGCAAGAACAGCTGCAGAGGTACTGCTTAGCCAATAGCGCCAGCATCACGTGTCAGGAGACATCGGCTACACAATTCGTCAAAGAGGGTGGAGGCTAGCTCCTTCCTCCTGCGGAGGTCCAGCAAGGGTTCTTTATGCCTTCTTTGGGTTTTATAGGTTCTTCATTGTTGATTCTAAAAGTCTGCCAGGAAGTTCTCTGCCTCCCCACCCAGGCCCACGCACCGTTAAGTGGATTGTGAAAGAACTTTGTATTTTAGAGTCTTTGACTGTGCTTTAATCCAGGCGGGGCTCTCCCAGAAGGAGGCCTGAGGCCAGAGAGGTGTTCTGCCCAAGAAACTCTGCTCTCCCAGGCAGTGTGACTTTGCCTAGACTCCCAGCATTCTACTTGGGATCTTTGTTCATGATTGGGCTGAATTCCAAAACCAGGAGGACCCACCGGCTTCCTGCAATCCCTGCCTTCCTGAGTTTAAAAGCATGGCCAGTTAAAAATTCATGGGCAAATTCATTCAACCTAATATTTTGGTCCCACATCTACTTATTATCTGGGGTTGGGTAGAGTAATTGTGCTAATGGTCCTGTTTTCTTTTCTGTCTGCCAAAGGAAGCAGATGAACTTTTTGAAAGGCCCAGAGATCTCTGAAAGAAGAATCTTGGGGAAGAGTTGGCATTCAGTGACTCATAGTTGACGGCTCCTTTATTTCAGCTTGTTGACCTAACTGAGGGAATGTGGCATAGTTGAGCATACGGTGGGGCCAGGAACTGTGTTGAGGGCTTTGTATACTGTGGCCTATGTACATCTTAGATCAGCTCCCACAAGTAGATGGAGTTGTGTTTATTTTACAAATCGGAGAACTAATACTTAGACTAAACAGCTAATTTGGGAGCGCACTGAGATTGAGTTAAGCAACCGAATAAAGAAACAAACTTGGTATTTGTTGAGCTTTCAAACCTATTGCTGTTTATGGCAAACATCGTCACCATAAGATGATGATTATCCATGCAAATATAAATGAACCAATAGAGGAGACATTTCTCTCACAGTGTCAAGGAACTAAAGCAAACAAGAATCTTGGCGTACTTGGTATTCTCCTGCTAATCTAGATTTCTCTTAGATGGAGGTGAAAACGAAACTTCCAAGTAGGTCGCGCAGAGGTTTCTGAAAGATATTTTGGTGTTTTGCTAATGTTCCGGGAATAAAGTGGGAGGGGAGGATAGGTAGAGTGAGCATTCTGGCCTCGACTCTGAAGGGAGCTACAGCTAAGCAGCATAAAGAGATTCACAGGCGCAGCCAAATACCAGCAGCTGTTTCTGCATTTAGACGAATTAAGTCTGCGAGTCTCTGCACTGTTTGAAAACAAAGGGCTCATCCAGGCATTATCGCATCCTAGGAGACATGAGAATGGGCTTGAAAAGCCATCAAGAAACTTATTGTAGGGATTCCACATATGGTTTCCCCTCATCTGGTCCTCAAATGTTCCATGGCGTTAAACATGGAGCGAGCTCAGTTGTAATGACATCACCCTTAGGTTCTGCTCCATTATGAAGTCAAGTTATCAAATCTCCCCATGAGTAGGAATGAGCTCACCAGATCTCTGCCAAATAGCCCCTCACTCCGGTAAGTTCACATCTGTGGAGGAGCTATGAAGTTCTCAAAAGAAAATTGCTTCTTTAACATTGGTTGGCGCCTTCACGACACAAGAAAGCAAACCTTAATATGGTTTCCATGGTCATCCCCTACATGCTGAAGAAGAACTAGTAGGTAAAGGTACTTAGTTCTCCATTAAGCCAGGTAGTTTTTGATATGAGCTACAATGCCATTAAACACACCAACAATAAAGCAATGCCTTCTTCACTCTGTTACCTAGTGCTGTACAAACTTCATTTGAATAATCTTCTGTGAGATCATGGGGAGGATTTCAGGATATTTTGATAATTCTTAAATTCTTTACGTATCAAATTTACATAAAAGTTACAGGTCTGTCCTACCAAAAGGTAAATGACTTAGTGTGTTGCTGTAAGGGGCATCGCTACTATATGTAACCACGTAAACCCTTTATATCCATTATAGGGGCTCTTCAGGCAGCTACATCATAACATTTTTGTAACAAGTATTTCCAGATGATGTTTCAAGGTGATTCCCTGCCATGTTGCTTTGATTTGAGGAACAGGGGTCTCAGTTCCTTTGTAGAGAAAAGAAGCTGCTGTCCACAGTTGGAGCTATGAATAATAAAAAGGTATCAGAGTCCAGTGTCTTCTGCTTCCTGAAAGCAGGCTTGGACTTACTTTTCTTTCCTGTTTCTGCTATTTCTTATTTTTGCTTGTGTCTAAGACCAACTTATTTGGTTTGAATCTCATATTGTGTGGAGGCAGGAAGCTTAGCCCTTTCCTTCCCCTACCCCGAGAGGTCCTTCCCCGAGCCTGGCAGCAGGCCATCTTTCCTTATCACTTGCCTTTCGTACAGATTTGCTATCTAGCTCGTACAAAGAGTTGGCTCTGCCCTCTCTCTGTAGCAAGAGATAAAAAGTAAGGTTTTCCCTGCACTTGGAAGAAATATCACAAATGAAAAGCAGTTGGGCTTCCAGCAGAGGCCAAATTGGCAGGAATATTGGAAAAACTCGGATCCAGTATTGCAGGATGGTACACTTTTATTCTTTTTTAAAATATCATATTAGAAAAATATTCAAGTAGATATCCTCAAAGGTCAAAGTAGAATGAGATCTCTTGTTCTCTATGTCCAGGTAGACTTGGTTCTGTCTTTTCACTAAGGCTGCATTTGAATGGTTTAAATCCCACTGTTATCATCTGGGGCAAAAAGGAAGATGACATCAGAGGTCCTGTGACCCATGATTCCACGGTGTCTCTCTGGAGATGCTTTTCATCCTGTTTCTAAAAGCATAAGGGTAGGTGAAAATGGGTATTAAGCTTCACTGCGTGCAGGTGACACAATGAGCTACAGTGAGGCCACAATCGGAACTGACATTGGCACCAGAGAGGCAGGTTCTGTCACTGATTAACACTGAACACTCCAGTGGAAAAGGGAAGTAGCTGAGATGCCTCTTCGTTAGCAGAGCCTATCCTACACAAACCAGTGAGGATGTTGATCCCGTCATCTCTAAAACAATTTTTATGTAGCATAAGGCTTTGCCCCATAGGTTCAGATATTTGAACTTTTCCGCCACTATATAATATTTTTATTATTTGAGAATTTCTGACAATACATCCTGATCACACTCTCTTCCCATATCTCCCAGATCCGCCCTCCAACCCTTATGCCACCCTCCAAAAACCAATAACAAGTCCAGTTTGTGTTACCCATGCACTTACTAGAATATGGTCAAACACCCAGTGGCCCCTTTAAAGAAAATGGAGTACTTCCCCTGCCCCCAGAAGTCATCAGCTGTGAAGAACTTCTTTAGCATCTTTACCACAGTTTTTAAAGACTCTCTTCAGTCCTCCCTTGTCTGAATTGTTTCTTTTGTGGGGGAGGAGAGAGACAAGGAAGCTGTCACAGAAGTCTTAAATGTCTTCCGATAACATTTCAAAAGACGCTTCCTTGCCCACAGCAACCAGAGGCAGTTCCGGGCACAGACATCAGTCCAGCATCATGGACATCCACAGGGTTTCTGGCTGCAGCAGGGAATCTCGGGGACACCAGCGTGACCTCCAAAGGGAGCACAAACCACATATATCTGCATGGAGGCACAAGTGCTATGAAAACCTTTCCAAGGAGGCTTACTCCAGAAAATGAACCATCCTTCATCTTGAATGTCTTGTTGTTGCTCAGAGGCAGTGGCGCAAAGGGGTGGGGGTGGGGGTGGGCGGGGAGCACCTGTGCAAGTTCCAGGCTCGCCTATGATCTCGCCGCAGCACAGAAGTGCAAGCAACTCCAAGCGGCAACAGTGCTCCACTGTGGGTGCAGAGGCGGCCAAGCCCTAGAAGTGAGGTGAGGCAGGCCCAGAGGTGACCCGGACCCCCCACACTTGTCACTGCCAGGCTGCATTTCCGGTTCCACTTCTCTTTCCAGTGTGCTGCTCCTTTCCGCCATCTTCTTTTCAAGTGCCATGAAACCACTCTTTAAAAAAAAAACAAAACATCTTTCCATAACACCAGTTCCAGGGATATTGTGTACTCTGCAGGCTCCCCACAAAGCCTCTGTGGGACTCTCAGGCTCCATGAAGCAGCCCCAAGGCTTCAGGGGTGCTGGATATCTTGACTCTCCCAATATTTGAACTTGGTCCTTAGTTGGTGAAACTCATTGGGAAGTGTTAGGAGGTGGAGACTGGCTGAAGGAAGCATGTCACTAGTGTTAGTATTCGGGCATCTGTATTGGCTCCTGCTTGGGGTCCTGACAGGATACTTCCTCAGCTGCAGCCACTAAGAGCACCTCCTGTGCACATTCACTATGTTCCCTTTTAAAAAGTGGGTCTTGCCCACCTCCCATCTTTCTCTTCTGTCCCCTCCAGTTCCTTTCTGA